ATCTGGTCTGATCTGACACGGAAAACGTTTTAAAAGATAAAGGATTATATTACTGCAAAGTTTGAACACAGGTTAATAAAACGTAAACAATCCAACTCGAAACATAAAAGACATCAAAAACTATTTTAAATTAATTATATTGTCGGGTTTCTTCTACTTTCCAAAACAGCATCAAACATTCGTGGCATACTATCTATTAATTTATTAATTTTTTGGACTAGTATTAAACCATTCCTCTTTCAATAAATTAAATAATTCAGTCTTATTTTTTGATTTATAATTTTTAAATCTAAGTCTTCCTTTTAAACCCTGCCAAATATTTCAATGGGATTGAGATCTAGGCTTTGGACAGGCCAGGGAAAAACCACAACGTTAGTGCATTGTCTTCTTGAAAGATCACCATGATTACGACACTTGATTCGTTAAAAGATATTATTATTATAATTACTTGTTTAGTCTATCTTCAACCAATACTAATGGACCCATTTTTATTCTTGTAAAATGACCTCAAACCATAATTCCATCGGATTGTTTTACCGTTGGATTTAAAGATTCTTTTTTATATTTTTCCCCTGCTATCCTCCAAACTTAATCATTTGAATCGTTTTGAATAGTAAGAACCTACTCTCATCACTAAATATAATTTATTTCCATTCTTTACAGCTTTCCTACCATAAATATTTTTTGGGATGTATAGTTCACCTGAAGTCTTTCCACTTGCTATAATGTTTAATTCTTCAAGTTGCTTTGGATAATTGATAGGCAGTTGATTTGGGGACTTTTATTACTGCTTTCACAAGCCGTCTTTCATCACGACCTGGTAATTTTTAGGTCTGCCAGTCCTAGAAACTGTAGTTGTTTTATTTTTTAAAAAATAATCATTAATGGTGTTTTCAACTGTTCTTTTAGATCTATTTAATATTGTTGGATATTTCCTATAAGAAAAATTCGCCTTTCTTAAGTCAGGTAATTCGGTACATTTGACATTTTGAGTCTTTGAAACAAATATGGTTTAATTTGGATAAAAATTTGCAATTTAAAGTTTGCAATTTTTTTTTAACGATTTTCAATTAAAAATTGATATTAATATGGTAAAACTGTGCAAATAAACTCGATAAACATTTTTAATTATACCATTAATATTATAGTCAGAATCCTTTTTGTCTACCTTTTTAAGGTAAAACAACAAGATAAATATGTGGTGAAACTTCAATACTTATTTGACATCATTTTTAATTTTTAATTGTTTGTACTACCCACTGATTATTCACCAAATGTATTTCCTTAAAAGTAAACACGACCTTTCTAAGAATAGTTCCAAAGTTCTTTTGAATCCGGAATTAAAAATCTAAAATGTTAGAATAATCTTTCTCAATCAATGATTTCCGTGAATTGATTATTTTTATTGGCTTATTACATTGATTGAGTAACACTTTCTTTTTTCATGCAACCCTCGTGATCTATAAATTACTATTTTACGTTCATTGTGCGTTCAATCAATCACATGGTATCACGCAAATTATTCTTTGTCCAATAAGAAATAACACATATTTAATATATATATATATATATACACACACACACATTAAAAAATATTTAAAAAAAAAAAATTGAATTTATGTCAACTTCAGAAATGCAAACAGTCGAACTTTCAAATACTTTCAACTTTTTTAATTCCTCGAATATAAATAAATGTAAGTAAAGTGTTGCAACTTCATTTTCATAGTCACCATATAATTCTAAAAGTTTTTCTTGAATATAATTAGATATAACTCGTTTATTAAGAAACTTACTAAATAAAGAAAGTGATGTTCCTACATTAAATATTACAATTGAACTACCGTAAGTATTTTATGATTATTATGATTATTATTACTTCAATTTATTCAATTATTTATATAATTATCATAATCGTGACATACTAGTATAACAAATAATGATTTGGAATTTCGAAAGACATTGGTTTCTGTTATTGCAAAAAATATAGATGGCTGGGCCGATATTAAAAATGAGAATGACATTAGTATAGAGGCCGACCAAAAGGGATTGACAAACAACCTGTACTTTATAACCAACCTTTATTCAAAGAAAAAAATAATCTTGAGGATTTATGGGCAAGGAGTTGATAAACTATTGGACCGGGAAAAGGAGTTGGTCTTTTTAAAAATGTTATCACGGGTGAAAATTGGTCCTCAATTATTATTGATTTTTAATAATGGTAGATTTGAACAATTTTTCGAATCTGTAACCCTGACAAATAAAGACATAAGAAATGAGGAGATTTCTCGTAAAATAGCCACCTACATGTTTAAATTGCACAACGTTGTAACAATTTTTCCCCCTGATAATATCGAAACGATTGTTCCTGAAGTCTGGTCCAACATTGACAAGTGGTTCCAACTGTCATGGAATATAGTCAATTCTGATTCTTTTGATCCCTCCAATAACATTCATATAAAAAAACTTGATTTGGGTTTATTAAAAACAGAAATAGAGGAATTAAAATCTAAATTACAAATTATTGGCTCGCCGATCGTCTTTTCACATAATGATGTAAGTAAAAAATTAATTGATTTGACTTGATTTGATTTGATTTGATTTGATTTGATTTGATTTGATTTGATTTGATTTGATTTGATTAATTCAATTGAATTATTATTTTCATTTTATTTATTGGGTTCTTTAGTGCCAGTGTGGGAATATATTATCTCTTACTGATGGATCAGGTCAGCTAGCAATCATTGATCTAGAATACTCTGGTTGGAATAACCGTGGTTTTGACATAGGTAACCACCTATGTGAGTGGGCCTATGACTACAACTCAACAGAATCCCATATGGAACATAAAGATTGGTATCCAAATAAACAGCAGCAGCGCAATTTTTTGGAATCCTATTTGGATTCATTTTTATCGGAATCCAACAACAACAACAACAATGATAATAATGGAAAAAGTTTATCAAGAGATGAACTTTTAAAACAATTAGAAATAGAAGCCGACGGTTATTCATTAACAAGTCATATTATGTGGGCATTATGGGCCATTGTGCAGTCAGCACAAAGCCAGATAAAATTCAACTATTTGGAATATTCATGGCAAAGGATCAATGCCTTTAGGACATCAAAGGACAAAATATATAAAGAAATTATGGATGAATATTGCAAGAAGACTTAATTTGATTTATCTTGTAATGATTATTATTTATTTTATAATTTTTAATTTATTTATTTTATTTAATATTTATATATATTTATGTAATAAATAGTGCGTTTCAATTTATTGTGACATGATTATTATTAATTATTTTAATATTAAAGCAATTATTTTGTAATACATAAATTTTATTTGTCAATAGATTTTTATTTAATGAATCCCCCAAAAAAAATTTCATAATAAATGACATTTTTTTCAAAAAAAAATTTAAAAGAACTGAAGCATAGATAGATACCAAAATTTTGCTGACATGCCAATAGTATGTAATAGTGGAAACAACAGCAATGATATTATTGTTGATATTGATATTAATGGTGATTGTGACATTGATATATACCAAAAATAAAGAAATTTTTTTAAAAAAATTAATGGAATCAACATCAACGCCACAAACAAATGATCATAACGATTCATCATTAAAAATTTTTAATAATGACAATATTACTAATTTAAAAAAAGATAAGAAATCAAATAGAAATAATTCTACTGGTCATGTTGATGATTTAGAATAACAGCCAACTTTTAAAGCTAACTTCTAATTTACAAGGTGATGGTGATAGTCATGACAAATGTTTTTAATAGTGATCATCAGAATTAACTAATTATAATAATCATATTAATGGTAAAAATTCATATTAATGGTAAAAATATTATTTTCAACTCGGGATTGTTTTCTAAACAACCATGATAATGAAGGTGGTAATGATGGCAATGATGCTGCCAATGGATTGAGCAGAAAAAATATATTAGAACATCATCTTATTTTTTTTAATGCTGATATAAGGGGATTAACTGATAAAATAACACAATCTCAACATAATCAACAATATTTAAATATTTCTTTACATTGGAATGAGCCTGTTGATACAGCTTTACTTCATTCTATAGCATGGGATGTTGAAAGAGAATTATTGCCACTTTCAGTCAACAATCTCAGCTCATACAAACTATTCCATTGCTTAATTCTTTCAACGTATATATTTAATCCATCTATATAGTTCATCAATAGATCATAATATTTAAAGAAATGGAAATATATCTGGAAATTATTCCAACTTCAACACTATCTTTTTCTGGTTCTCAAGCTTTCTTAATGTCTACAATATCTAGCAATAACAATAATAGTAATATTATTAATGATAGCGATAGTAGGAGGATTTTAATACTATGGATAATAATTGGTTTCTTTTAAAAGCTAAAAAGACGTAATCGACGACTAGTTTATGATAATTTTCATAGAAACCTATATAAACTTCTGAATTTATATCCTTAATTTTAATTAATGATGATTATTTTTAAAAATATATACATATTATTTTTCCTAAAAACCTTATTTATAACAAAACAATTATGATTTTGTATTAGTAGATATCTAGAATTTATAACAAGAATTATATTTGTAATATAAATACATCAATGTTAATAAATATTTTAAAATAATGGTTCCAAGAGCTCAAAACATTTTTCAGAAATATAACAACGATTTTCTTAATTACTTTAATTAATTATTTTAACAATTGAAATTTAAAAAAAAATAAAATGTTTTAATTCCTATATTAACCTTGTAATAACTCTATTTTTTGTTTATTATGCCTTTTTAAATTTGTATTAGTAGGCATCTAGAATTTATGACAAAAAATTACATTTGCAGAAATTAAAAAGTCCCATCTGCATAATGAGTTATAACAGTTTATGCAAAGGCGTTTTCTTTATTTAATTAATAGTTTGTTTATTATTATATATAAAAATTATTGACAAATCCTTCTTCACACATTAACACCTTATCAAGAATTAACGCCAACGTTAAAAATGAATTCGAATTCTGACCTATTATTATTGTTGGAAAATGGCCCATGGAATTTCGCTTTTTTAAAGCTCCTATTAACAGAGGTTGAAATACCAAAATATTCAACACAGTCTGGGATTGTAAAATTCCAATCGGATTTGGTGGGATATTTTGCTTTACATGCCAAATGCATAATTATAAACGTAAATTTTAGCAATTGTACCAGGAATAGAAAGTTCTACATCAACTCTTACGTGGGAACTCGCTACATGTACCAATATAATTTATTTACATCAAGCAAAAATGCATACATATTTAAGAGTTTTTTTTACCTTCGGTGACAGCTAAATTAACAATTATGCCAAAAATGATGATAGAGAATAAAGGTGATGCTTTCAAGATTTTGTTTTTTCCTCAAATGGAATAATAACAAACGAATGTAATTTGATTTTTTAATTTATTTTTAAGAATTAATTTGCAGATGTGTCTATTTATAAAAATCTGTCTCATAGTTGCATTTTATTATTGACTATGTGAAGCGGTTTCATATTTCACATATTTCATAGCTTCAAGCATAATGGACATTCAAAATGTTACACTAATTTTTTATGTTGTGTACCGTAATTTTACAATACACTGTGAATGTTGTCTCAATAAAAAATTGCTGATAAAATGATAAAATGGATTTCAATTTGTTCGCAATTTGTTCATGAACCTAGAGAGGTGACAACTATATACTGGTGAAGTTTCAGGAACAACGGGATCTGTGTAACATATTGTGTAATGACGAATGTCCACTATGCTATAGCTTCATGAGTTCTCGTGAAATTATGCATCGACAATAATAACAGCCAAACGTCATTTTAGTCAAAAGTGTTTTTCCAGTGAATTACTATTACGATCGGGATTTTATTAGTATTAATATTAAGGTTTAGCTTACCAGTCGTGTGTCATTTCACTTTTATTGATTTCTCTTAGAATATCATGTTGAAATTGTAAATCATCTATTTCTTCTATCAAAGAATTAAATTTGCTCGTTCGTTTCAGTGATTAAATGTATTAATAAGTATGTAGTATACTTCCTATTACAGTCCACTCTCTCCATAACGGACCGAGAATTTAAATGTCCCATATTAATATATAAATTATTACTGTTTATAACGGATTCTTTATATTTTTTATCGTAATTATAATACTAATACTAATACTAATACTAATACTAATACTAATACTAATACTAATACTAATGCTAATAATATATGAAAAATCCGTTAAATCCGTTAAATCGAGATAAAATAGAAAGATTTGGTTTTGAAAATTTATCCGTTAAACCCCTAAATCCGCTAAATCAAGATACACTGTGTATCAGGATTCTCATTTAATATCTAAATAAATAAAAGAGTAAATAAAACAAGTTGATTAAAATAATGCATTTACTACAAATTATCATCATTATTTACTAATTGAAATACAGGTTGCAATCTTATAATAGAAGTTGTGGATACATAAATTGAGGTACATCTGGTTTCAGTGTACTTTTTTAGGCTTCCTCCAGTAATATTTAATGTTTTAATGTAGCTTTCAAGCAAATTGCTGGCTTGGTATGATTTTTTTAAAAAATTGATAATTTTTTTGCAAATTCATGTTTTAGTAAATCTTTTGTTATAAGTTTAAAACAGTGAGCAATACACCTAATGTTCAATATTGATAGATACTTAGTAGTTATTAACTCTCTGACAAGTTTAACATTACTAGCACCATCTGTTACAATAGCTGACAGCTTTTCTACACAAATTTCTAAAATAATTGATTCAATTTGATCAGACAAAAAAACTTCAGTATGAGAACTTCCTGAAAAATCACATAACTTGTATGTATAACTTTTTCTTTGAGGAGTTATAATGACAAAATTCCAGAATGACTTGTTCTTAGGATTGGACCACCCATCTAGAGCTAAATATGATTATGGATATGGTTATTAATTAACAATTATAAAATTAACTAATAAAAATAAAACACTTAATAATAAATTGTTAAAAATATATATTTACCAAGAGTCTTATTTTTATTTTTTTCAATATCCTGGTCTATTTTGCTATTCACATGAATCACTTCATCATTTAAATAATTAATTGATAATTTTTTATGATTTGGTGGTTGATAAGCTGGACATAGTTTTTTTAAAAAATCTACAAAATATGGGTTCTCAATAGTGTTATATGGAATGCCAGCCATTACAAAAGCATGAATTAAAGATTTATTGATGCTTTCTTCTCTCTCTTTTGTAAGGGTTGTACTTTCATAGAATTCAGATAAAGAAACTTGATGATTATTTGAATTTTTGTTATTGGATGTTGAATAATGAGAATCTTGAGCTCTTTTTTGATTGTTTCTAGACCTGCTCTTTTCAATTATTAAATTCAAATAATATTCACAAATTTCCTCATCACACTCAACACATTCTCTTGCTAAATGCTTTTCATGAACATTTGGATATCCCACTTCAAAATATTTCAAGCAGTAATTGCACTTAGCATTGTAATGGCCTTTATTATTTTTAATTTCAGGTCCTTTTAAAAAATGTTCCCAAACTTGAGATAATGGTCTTCTGCCAAATGTCTTAGAATTTTTTTTTTGTTCTATCTAAACCTGCACCTCCACTAGGAGACAAAACTGTATCAGACATTAAAAAATATATTTAATTTTATGAAGTTGGTTATATTAAACTTTTATTATTATATATATAATAAAAAAAAAAAAAAGGAAATAAATAATACAAATATTACTATAATAATATATATATACTATTAGTAAAAATGAGTTTTTTTTGGTAACAAAAAAAAAGTTGATCCAAACTATTTATTGAAATTTAATTTTAAAATTTCTTTGATTTCTTTAATATCATTTTCAATTGTGTCAATTTTATTTGTGACATTTGAATCCAAATTTTTCACATTGTTTTGTAAGGAATTTAAATTTTCTTCAATATTCAAAGATTTCATCAATAAATTATCCACAATATCCTTATCCTTATCATTACTATTACTACCACCATCATTTTTATTCTTGTTCATAGTTTCCTTGTTGAATTCAGCATCAACGATTTCACAAGTCCTTACTACAAATTTCATATTTTCACCAGGATGATAGGTTTTCTCATTATTATCATTGTATTTATCTCCACCATCCAGTTTAGATGAAGAAATTTTATCAACATCATTATCTTTATGCATCATTTTCTTACTCTCTTCATCTATATAAACATCATCTTTACCTTCATCACATTCATCATCATCAATAAACTCATCATATTCAAAATCATACAAACATGAAGAAGCATCCTCTCCAAGCAACAATGATTTGGATCGTTTACTATGAAACTTTTCAGTTTTCAATAACCAATTTTCTAACTCATTAGCTTTTCCAACATAATAAATATATTGTGGATTTCCTCTAGAATTACCAAATGGTTTCTCCAATGTTTCATAATCTGCCAGTAGATCTGCTCGAATTTTCAAGGTTTTTTGTTTCACATTTTGACTTGCTTCTTCAAATATACCACTAATAATAATGGTAACAATGAGGTGGTGGTATTGAAGATACAAAGATATGAGGATATTGATTTGATTAGTATTTTAAAAATCAATAGTGGTTAAAATAAATTATTTTATAATCAATTGGAAATTTGTATGCTTACGTCATAAATGCAATTAATAAATTTTGCATTATAATTACAAGCAATAAACTTGCAACTGAAAAAAAAAAAGATTTTTTTTAAATAAATAAATAAAATAAAATAAATAAAATAAGAAAAGACACATGTTTTATTTACTCACATATGCTCAATGCATCAACTGGCCAAAAATCCCATTGATCAAGTTGATCCCATCTGCCTAATGGCCAAAAATAAACAGATTCAACTGATTTCCCAAAATGGAAAAAATAATTATCATTTACATCTTTTACATTAACAATTGGTTCAATTTCTATATTGGCATAAGGATTAGGATTTCCTTCAGGGATTGATGTGTCACTTACACCATAACCTGAGGTGTTTGGGGTTAATCCGATATTATCTGGATCGTTTAATAATATGTACCTTTTTTAATTTTGAAGATATTGAAGGAATAAAATTAGTGTTTATTATATAGAGAAATGGGAAATTAAAAATGTAAATTTGTTTATTATATTTACATTGCATGACCAAATCCACCAACTGAAATCAACATAAAAGCTAAAAATGGCCAAACACTTGATATTATATCAATAATAAGATTGATGAAATATGCAGGACGTGCAAAAGCTCGTAATAATAGTAGCTATATATATATATACATATGTATAAGTGAATGGAGGAAAAAAAAACAATTATAATAATTGATAATTATAACAACAAGCAACTTTATCTTTATCTTTATCATCATTATTATAACCAAAAATATAAATCACTTACAGCTTGCAGCCATATGATCAACACAACAAAAGAATTAATAATTATAGCATATCGATTTATTTCAACTAAATCAAATCTTGCTGTTAGAAAATCTTCTAGAGCTTGTGAATCATTATTTCCTTTATTTATAAAGTCAATTGATTCTGCATATGAAAATATAGCAATAACATAATTCCCTATTGAAGTAGCAAATGGAACTACAATTGATATAATATCTACGAAATTGAATAAGCTGAAATATCTTTGAATTTTCTCTTGCCTAAATTGTATGAACTCAATAGCCAACAAATAATAACTAAAATATAGCACAATTATAAACACATATGTGTTTTTGACTGGATTATAAAAAAGGTCTGCATATTCTCTTGCATCCTCAGGTTTTTCAAAGTTAATATTAGAGAAAGCGGTCACACCAAGATGATATATTATAGAAACTGAGAAAGCTATGTAAAGCAGTAATTGTCTGGCATAAAAAAATTTTGCTGGAGGATATTTGTATTTGATGCATGCTTCCAACGATGGATTGTCAAAGATTAATTCATTTCCATTATGTTTAATTACTTGCAAAAATGCACTAGAATCCTCATTCTTCTTTATAACATATTCACGTGGCCAAATTAATAGTTTTAATAGTTTTAAGAGCAGACTTTTTTTTCCTAGCTTTTTATCTTTTATACCATTTGGATATAGAAGAAAATCTGGTAATGGAACTACATGAACACTTATCATTTGACCTAATTCATTGCTATTTTCCACATATCTCTTTGCTTCATAATCACTGATTTTTTTTTAAAAATAAATAAATAAATAAATATAATGAATGTAATGAGTAAGAAGAGATTTTTAAGTTTAGTTACCTTTTAAACAAATTAAACTTGGAAAATCGTTCCATTAAAGAAGGTTTTCTAGTGATGTTTCGTATTAATCTTGGCCTTGCACTTAAAGGATAAACAGCCTTATGTTCACCTTGCCTTAATTCATATGGATCAACAAAACATTGGTCAATCAAAACTTCTTTTACTCCAAAGCATGGTTTATAAAATAATCCTTTTAGATACAGTTCTATTATGGGATGGGGAGGGAGAACAGGAAAAAAAGTTAAAAAAAAACCAACATTTTACTAAAAAAAAAATAAACAAACACATACCTAAATTTTTACTAGATAATAATAATGGGACTGCTTGACTTACTGTAAACATCCATCCAACATTTGCTAATGCATGATTAGAATAATATTCTAATAAAAATCCCACTATCATTGTACGGTTATGATTCTGCCCTAAATATTTAATTAAAATTTTTTTTAATTTATTATACATATAAAATTTTTATAATAAAATGATTATAATGCAATAATGACCTTTAGCGCATTTGATTGCAACTTCTAAATCGGTTTCTTTTTTTACTTTTGGCCACCCATATAAACGTGGAATGTGTAAGTAATGTTTATTATTTTTCAAAGCTCCAGTGTTATCATTGTCCTTAAACAAGATTTTTTTAACCAATGAAACATTTTTACCCCTGATCAAATTTGCCATAATGTCATAACGTATATCATTTAATCTCCAAAGACCTGGTGACTTGTTAAAACTTATAAAAACCAATTTCTCAGTATGATAGTATAAATCCTCAAATTTTCGATTATTTTTTGGACCAATACACTCATTCCTACGATGAGAGAGATATTCAAGTGTTTCACATGCATCTTTTATTGCATTGGTGCTTTTTGGATAATGGATATGGATTTGGTGAGTGTTGGTTGAATTTGAATGTATCAACAATTTCAAATGGAATTTGTTATTTCTAACTGCAATTGATTCTACATCAAATTTACTATGTGAAAGATTTGACCAGATATACTTGAGAATTTTTTTCTTGGTTTTTTCCTTCTTGGTAATTTTGCTTTGCCAGATCT